ATTAGGGTTGAATATAATGAGTAGGTGTACTTATTAAAATTACATTTGTTTCACAATTCAATATATCCTTTTTGGTCATTTTATATTAGAGTAAATTAATAATTCAATAAATAGTTTGATAATATGGTGTACTTTTCGTTTAGCAGCACTCAATAATTATCAACCCAACAAAGTAAAATTATGGAATAATACATAAAATAAAATTAATAAAACAAAAAAGATAAAAATGAAAAAGGATAATTCACACTTACGTAGAAATGCTGCAATGCCAATGCCAATAGCCAAACATACTAATTTAAGTAACACATGTATAAAAAATTATTTACAAAAACAGTTACAAGGAGTAATCCCAAATTCTTTATTATAATAATAATAATAATAATAATTATTATTATTATTATTATTATAAAAAAACCCAAGTTTCTTCTTTCATGTCTATATAGATGGATCATGATCAGCAAACAACCTCAAAAAAGAAAAAAAACCAAGAATCTTGGTTTTCTTTTAAACACAAATATTGTTTTTGTTTTTGGGTTGATACAAAACAAAAATTAATGCATGTACAAATTAGAAACCATGGGAACGATATGTGACACGAAATGTGTCGATAAGCTGGCTAAATATGGGTGTCACTGTCATGAGAGGCCATTGCCTATGGCACGAAATGACCCAACTATCATAAGAAGGAGATGAGCAAAAAGTTGCGTTCTATAAGCTCTTCTTGTACCATAGGCAATGGCATATCACAGCCTCTCACGACACTAGTATATATTTGGGGATCTCATCCACGTTTGTTGTTATCTAATTAGGAGATGTGAAGGTAGGGTTTTGTGGGAGTAGTATTTATATCAATATATATGAAAAACTGATACATTTCCATACCAACAAGATCAGCAAAGAAACGTGAAGGTCCTAATTAACGAGTTGGTGACCAATTCTTTTCCACCTTCAAAGCATGTGACTACATGTGTTAAAAGCAGTGTTCGTCATCAGGCGGGGCTTTGTTGGATTTTTACTTTTTTTGAGTTGGGTTGGGTCAGCCCGAAGTTTGAAAGGAATCAGTCCGAGTCTGCTCATAAGGCCTAAGTAGACTTTTTGGGTTGGGCCGGGCCTCCCATTGCCTTTTTTTTTTTGTTTTTTTTTTTGGTGCCTTATTTTCATTCTAAACATTTAAGTAAAGGGCACTTCCTTATTTACATCTTTTTACTTTAATTTATTTTTTATGTTACTCAATTTACTTTAAGTTTACAATGTAAATAAGGAAGTACCCCAATTTGGATTCAATAAAAATAAAAAAATAAAAAAAACTAGAAAATCAAAATATGAAAATCCAGTTTTAGTATAAGATACAGTTTATACCAATATTGATACCTCAATAAGTCAATGTATACTTTATACTAAAATCTCATAAAATCGTGTTTGATTATTTAAGTGGTAAGGAATATAAACCGCCAAAAATATCATTGAAAACATTAACATTTCAAAAGTCTAATTTTCATAATTAGTCAAATTTTAAGAGAAAACAGTTTTTCAAGTATGATATGTAGTAAAACTGTTTTATATCAAAATCTGACTAAGTATGAAAAATGGACTTTTGAAATACTAATGTTTTCAATGATGCATGATTTTATGAGATTTTAGTATAAAGTATACATTGACAGATAGGTTTCTTGGATTGAAAGAGAAGAGTGATCTGGCAATAGAGTATAGGAGTCTGTGTTTTTCTAAAACTTAATATAAAAAGTGGTGAGGTGTGTATATAGATGTACTAGGGCTAAGTATTAAGTTGGATGACATTTTTTTTGTCTTTTTACACAATAATAAAACTTAAGAGCATAATGATTTAAGTATTGGGGTGAACAAAGAAAAGCAGGGTGGTTTAAATAGAAAAAAATCTAAAAAAATAATGTTAGAATTACTAAGGGCTTGTTTGGGGCTTTCTGATAATGAAAAAAAGGCTTTCTAACAATGTTTGGGAGGAAAATTTAAAAGTGCTTTTAGGTTATAGAAGTAGTTTCTAGAGAATCACCTACTATGTGGTTCTTTAGGAAGTACTTGGATTGTTAGAAGACATTACATGGTAAGATTTTCAACCATTTGAATGAGCTACTCATCTATATACTACGAGCTCAAATTTTTATTAGGGCTTGTTCCTACTCTATTTATGTGGCAAGAGGAGAGGAAGTCTGAATAATGATGTTCATTTTGAGCATTTAGCAGCAAAACTCAAAATATTGGCTTTGTTTGCATCTTCATAAATAAACCAAGAGGGGGGCCATATTGGAAAGGAAGTGCATAGGCAGCAAAGAACTCCCTTTCTGGAAAATTTGTTGTCTCCATGGAAGATGGAAATACATGCATTATTCAAACTACAAAACACGCGGTACTGAGTAATGACCCAAAGAATCATCTTACACAACACACACCTTATCTAAAGAAAGGGCAGGCGATCATAGGAAAGATTTTCCCATGAATATACATTTATTTCATCTCATACAGTCAATCCTCAGGCCTTAAGAGACTCCCCCACTTTAACAAGTTCCTCGAGTGCCTTTGAGATCTGTGGCTCTGTCAAACCTTCCAAACGAACGCCTCTCTCAACACCCATGTCTGTTTAATAATCAAAGGTTATGTAGATGGAGCAATGGTGCAACATTCAAGTTAACAACACAGGACTAAAGAACCAACAAAAGAACTTGCGTAGCTTGAATAAATGTACGTTAAACATGAGCAATATCAGGCCATTAAGCATACTGGAACGTATTAAGTACTTGCACCTAATTGTGAACAGAGAATTTGTTTACCATTTATCAAGTACTCAAACCCAGAACTATTACATTGCTGTTAATCCGCACCTAAAATGACAACTAGATAGCTAAACTTCGTTATCCACTCGGGTGAAAGCAGACTTAGGTATCTCTAATGTTGATTGTTGCAAAGTTTCTCCATACTTGAGTTACAATTTTAAAATGACCTATAAAACTCAGGCCATGCATCCCCATCACATTTGCAATACTTTTCAAAATAGAATCAAAGCCAAAACTTTGGGATTCCTAAGAGCATTTCTTACAAAAGAAAAGCAGAAAAAAGCTTGGCTCCAATATAGAACAATCCTGAAAACCATTTGCTGGAGGTTAGCTAGAACAATCATAGTTGGCCATCCAACAAAGACATTTTCCATTGTCAGAAATCATGCTCCTCTAATTTCCCTAACCTAAGTTTTGCCCACTCTTGATCTCTGGTTGCATTTTCAACTTAAACAAGATAAATAAATTTGGCACCACCAATCAAAACAGTAACTGAAATGACTATAAGTTCATAAGAGTAACAGAGGAGACATCTGTCTTTTTTCTTACATAAATTGTTGCTTGAATAAAGCCTACATCTTTCAAAAGTCAGTTTAGGCATTAACTTATTTTTAAAGTAATCAATCACCATCTTTATTAGACATTTTCAAATAAGGCTTTCAATACACAGTTTCATTCATAGACATGATATGGTGAAGAAAACAAACACATGACAGGTGCATATTCAAGCTCGTTAATAAATCAATTGTCACTAGATCCTAGGTCACACAAGGAAAGATAAAAACTCATGTTCCCCACTGAACTTAACAAACAATGCTAAATAGTTTTAATCAATTAACTTTATGGAGCAACTCACAAACACTGCTGCATCTCCTTTCCGTCATTTAACAGCTTTCACAACTATAGGTAACATTTTATAATTACTCTCCTAATTGAAAAGGGTATCTTAGATCTAGTTATAAGAAAAGGGTATTATCACAAGTCTAGAGCAAAAACATCTTGAAGTGCCCCCAGATTTAGAAATCTCAAATTCCTTTTGTTGATCAGCTCTAAAGAATTGATAGTTAAAGGGCCAGTCTGATAATTCATACCGTTTATGTTGGCTTATAGTTTTTTTAGTTAAAGAGATGGAGGAACTACATATAGGAGAAAGGAGGGAGGAAGAGGAGATATGAGAGACGAAGAGAACAAACGACGGCAAAATGCATAAAACTAAAACAAACCATATGAAATTGTTTTTGGTTTTTAATTTTAATTTTATTAATCAATCATCACATATACACTTTCTAATCTATCATCTCTCTTCTCACTAATTTCTCATTCTCTATCTTCCATTACAAATAAAAACCAAACTGAAAATTGCGACCTAACGGGCCCCATAACATCAGCAGATTCCATCACTTAAAGGTAAACACGCGTGTGTGTGTCCTTGGCATAGCATCTTATCTTATGAACCAACAGAAAGACTGGAAGCGAAATATCACAAAACGAACTTGGTCATATGTACCAAAAAAATGCAGCATGAGTTGAAATCTACCTTAAACCAACCATAATATATCCATGAACTTGAGCATTCTAAATTCCAAAAATATTGAGAAATGTAAAAGAAAAAAACCATCAGAAAAAGAAAAGAAAAAGAAGCTAGGGAAGAATGGAAATACCATATCTAGCCCATAACTGAGGCTCAATCCCTCTGCATTCACGAATCAAGATGGGCAATTTGGGGTTCAAACTCTTGAGATCCTTGTAATTCTTCTCCACAAATGTTCTGCACATACAAAGAAAGAAGATTTATCATTTTTATTGGTGTTACAAGCAATAAACAAAGAAATTAAGAGAAATAAAAGGCATGAGAGAATCAAAGGACCTGGTTGTTGCGCTTGAAGGGGAAGATTGGCAGAGTAAAACCCTAAGCTCCTTTAAGTTCTGAGATAGCTTTCCTCTCCATGCCATTTTCTTGGTCTTTTGGGTCTCAGACTCTCTCCCTCTCTTCTTTTCGCTTCAGCTCAAGGATGAAGAAGAAGATTGAGGTACTTTATGCCAAAGGTTTTTATTCGCTTGGTGACTTTTTTGTCTAACGACTTGTCGTGTGAGTCTGCGACATGTCGCTGGGAGTGTTTGAAATTGGGATGGGCATTTTTGCAAGAAGAAAATTGAAAACGGGGGCAAAACTAAAATAAAGCAAAAACCTGGAGAGTTGAGAGAGAGAGAGCCCGCAGAAAGAGAAAGTGAGAGTGAAAGACAAAGGCCGCGGAGAGAGAGATATTCACAGATTCACAATCTCACTGTTTGAGTTGAGAGAGTGAAAGAGAGAGAGGGGATTGGTGGTGGTGTGGGTGTGAGGAAGGAGAAGAGGGGTAGGGTAGAGAGAGAAAGTAGGGAGGGAGAGAGAGATGTCAGACCTAGACAGGCAAATAGAGCAGCTCAAGAAGTGCGAGCCTCTCAAAGAGTCGGAGGTCAAGGCCCTCTGCCTCAAGGCCATGGAAATCCTCGTCGAAGAGAGCAACGTTCAGAGGGTCGATGCTCCTGTCACTGTATTTCCTCTCTCTCTATCTATCTACTTGAGAACTCTTTGATTTTGCTGGGTAGTCTTCGATGTAATAGTTTGTTTTTGGGGTTTGGTTGATTTTTGGGTTATGGATTTGATTTAGCTATGATTTCGATTTTACTATTTGTTTCGGACAAGTGGGTTTTTCTTTATTTGTTGATACTTGTGGAATAGTAATTTTGTGAAGAAAGAAGATTGAAATGGTATTGGATTCCAGAGAATAGATAAGGTTTTTATAATATTACTTCAATTTCTTTTCTTTACTGGGAAAACCATATGGTTGAAAGAAATACATGTTGTAGGGTTTAGGATTTGGGAACGAAATACAGCAGTTGTTACCATTTATTTTGCCGTAGGTAATGATAGTTTACATTTCTTGCTTAATGGATTATGGCTGCTTTATACGCTAAACTTGTATGTGTCTTTAGAATAACGAGGAGCCCTATTTTCACTCTGATTCTTGTTCATTACTTTATATTATGAGCTAGTTGGAGGTAGTGGGGTTATAAACAAAATTTAGCAGGGAAATAGGGCTAGTGGAATAATTTTTTTGTAGTGAAGATATGGTGCTTTAGAATATGAAGTTCAAATGCTAAATGTTGCGGGTTGCATGCTAACCGGTTGTTGTTACATAGATTTGCGGTGACATCCACGGGCAGTTTTATGACATGAAAGAGCTTTTCAAAGTAGGAGGTGATTGCCCAAAGACTAACTACTTGTTTCTTGGAGATTTTGTTGACAGAGGATTCTATTCCGTTGAGACATTTCTACTCCTACTTGCACTCAAGGTGATAGGCTTATATACTTCTCTACTTTGCTTGATTTGTTGAGCCTTCAGATATGCTCTACTTGCTCTTTAGATCATTAAGAAGATTAATGGTTTTTACCTGCATTTCATTTGATGTTTTAGCCATATTCTTCAGGGGTTCTAGTACAAGTGTTGTTTCTATTGCTTTAAAACATAACCCTAAATTTAAAGATAGTAGATTGGTGTCGTGTAAAGATTGTGGAACACCAAATTCCATGGCAATTATTTATATTGCACCCTCTGCCTTGGAAACCAAAGGTGATGAAGTAGCTACAACTTGGTTAGTGAAGAAGTAGCCCAAGACTTCTCATTTGCCAAACTCGAGAACTAAGGCCTTTGAGTTTTAAGTGAGATGTCCATGGTAGTGCAAGAAAATTAAAAAATAGAGTAAAAATAGTAAGTGAAATTGTCAGTATAAGCGTTTATGCCAAATCTTATTAAGAGTATTGATTTTGTTCAAGTGTTATTTAGAGTCTACTTATTTGGGTTTTAGGAACATGCAATGTCTGAAAGTTAGTAATGAATTTTTAGTATTATACTATTTATTTTTACCCTTAACTGTTCTATTTGAAACCTATAAACAAGGCTATCTGTTGTAAAGCATATCAGATTGAAATGAATGATAATTAAGTGTTGATGAAGGCATGGTGTGTTTGTATCTCCTCTACCTTCTTCTCCGTCCCTGTCTCCTCTAAAATACTTTATTTCTTAAAAGTCGTAGACAGCACCCACCTGTGTTTTCCTGCATCACAAAGGCTGTTTGTCGTAGCCCGTTCTTGTACTAGTGCTGATGCAAGTATGCTTTGCTCTATCATGGAAATACCTAGGAAATAATAGATACTCATATGCACATTTTCTTTTCCTTCCACTAGCATATCTTCTAGATGATAAGAACTTCTTGCAAAATTTTATGGCCACTTTAAGGGCTTATCTTACTTCACTGGACTTTTCAGGAGTCTTTGATGTTGAACTGCTGAAAAGTTTTCTCTAAAGTTGTAAATTGATTGTGGATTGAATGCCACATTAACTCATGATGGTTTAAGGGAAAAAAATGATACCTTTCATTTCGTTTTTAAGAAACTGTGGTTTAGAAAAAAAGAAAATACTAGAACTGCATTATGTGCTAGCACACATAAGGCTATGGCTACACATTTGCTATCTGAATTAGTAGGAACATATCTAGTCACAGGGATACGTTTTGAGTCATCACCCTGTCCAAACAAACGGGGAAAAACTCAGGGGAAACTGAAAGGCCTATGCAACTTGTTAGTGAGTATGACCTTAATGTATGATTAGTAGATAGAGTGAGAAGAAAAACTTATCACTTGTCCCCCAAAGAAAAAGGGGAAAAAACTAATCAGATAAAGCTAATTTATAATTTGATTGGAGTAGTCTCATTTGTTTATCCATCTAGGCTCCATTTTAGTTCTTGTAAAGTCAAGGGAGATAACTGGAATCATCTTCCTTTTATTTTATTAGGTTTAGTTTATGAGACCATCTTAATTCCCAGTGGCCGATCAATGATTTTGGCCATCATGTAGATTGTGCATTTATTCTCATGTTGATCTAAGCCTTTGATGGTTATTCATAAGTTTATTTTTTTAACGAATAATTTTACTTCAGGTTAGATATCCAGATCGGATAACACTTATTAGAGGAAACCACGAGAGTCGTCAAATCACACAGGTTAAGTCTCTTTTACTGGTGCCTATTTTTTATTACTTACCCATTCAGAATATTTACTGAGTTATCCTCTCTAGACAGGTGTATGGATTCTATGATGAGTGTCTACGAAAGTATGGATCTGTCAATGTTTGGAGATATTGCACTGATATATTTGATTACCTAAGGTTTGCCCTTTTCTATCACATAACTCTGTCTGTTTAAGGTTAGGCAGCTGAAAATATTATGACACGGAAACTTGGTTTCATAGTGGGTGATGGTAGGTTATTGTTTCTGGGAATATTTTAGCAATACCACCTGAACTTTGCCACTTGTGACGCTTGACCACTTGAGTTTATCTTTTATTGACTATTTACCACCTGTAACTAAATCTTTTTGCACCAAAATACCACATACCGTCAAGACTGTTAAGAAAGAGTCACATGCGAGTCACATGACCACTATTTTGTTTCAGATTTCCACCTGAACTTTTTTTGTGCCAGATTGCCACCCCAAAGTTTTCATTTTGTGCCGAATTGCCCATAAATTGTAGGTTTAAGCCTTGGTGAAAAAAAATTCAAAAACTCCTTTTAGGGGTTTAAAAAGATTCAGGTGGAAATCTGGCACAAAAAAGAAGTCAATAGGTCAAAAAGTGAAACAAAATTTGGGTATATTATGTTGTTTCTCTTTTACAGCTTTTGAGTTTTGATGGCGGCTTAATGCAGTTTGTCAGCTCTCATTGAGAATAAGATTTTTAGCGTACATGGTGGTCTCTCTCCTGCCATTTCAACTCTGGATCAGGTTTGATAATCCAGTTTGAGTTGCATCGTTACTATGTTGATTTAAATTGTAATCTTCAATCCTTTATATACTTACCAACTCACATGTTCTGTTTGGCAGATACGAACAATTGACCGGAAGCAAGAAGTACCGCATGATGGTGCCATGTGTGACCTACTATGGTCAGATCCTGAAGATATCGTGGATGGTTGGGGTTTGAGTCCTCGTGGTGCTGGTTTCCTCTTTGGTGGCAGCGTTGTTTCTTCATTTAACCATGCAAACAACATTGACTATATATGTCGTGCCCATCAGTTGGTAATGGAAGGGTATAAATGGATGTTTAATAACCAGATAGTTACAGTCTGGTCAGCACCCAATTACTGTTACAGGTAAATTAGCAATCTGCAATTAACATTTTCCCCCATTTTTCTGGAATTTGAAAGTTTATATTATCAATGATGGGTCTGTTTCAGATGTGGTAATGTAGCTGCAATTCTTGAGCTGGATGAAAATCTTAATAAGCAGTTTCGTGTCTTTGATGCTGCGCCACAGGTTTGTACATAAAATTAAGTCGCAATTGATCACCTTTTCTTTTTCTTGAAATTGCTTTGGTTATTTTGAGCAGCAGCACGAAACTTTGTTCATGTTGTTCACATTCCATTGTTATGTGGGGTTCCATGCGTCCACTGATGAATGCACTGGTTCTTTTAGCAAAGGATTCTACTTGATATGATTGTCAATAAAATTTGGAAAGAGTTGGGATGCTGACTATGAATGATTATATGGAAATTGTAACATTGGGTATGCTTAGTAACAACTTTTACGTTTCACCAGTGCACAAAAGAATGACACTCAATTCAATGCATGGACCTTGAGTATATTGTCCTTTTTTTGGGTCCTCTTTTCCTCTTTAACCTTTGCCACTGGTGAACACCTGGGTGTCCCCTCCAGACATCGTGTCTCTGTTCCCTTATATTTGATTCTGAATGATTGTGATAAAAATGCAGGAATCAAGAGGCACACCTGCCAAGAAACCTGCACCAGACTACTTTCTATGAGATTGGTAAAGCTTTCCTGTTATTATCAACATTCATGGGGGCAGCCTATACAGACACAAGGTGGATAGAGGATGGTATCGCATGGTACACAGAAATTTATGGGTGGTGGGCGTCTTGTGATCGGCTCCTCCAGTGACCAGCAAGAGTTGTACTTTTCTGTTCTTCGCCAGTTTGGATTGTTGGTTTTGCTTTTCTTGTATGCCTGCTGCTTCTACCATCTTTCATTTTTACATGTATGAGTAGTGTGCATTGCCTAGCCTACCATGTGAATTATAGAATCCTTTTCCTTGTGATTGTCAGAGGAGGGAGAGACAAAGGGTCTTGGATATGGAGGCTTTTGCTTGTATCCATGGTAACCTGAATAGAAGGATTGGATTGAAATACGGACAAAGGGGTGGAGTAAAACAATTATTTTTGTCCTTCTGGGCAATAAAAGCTCGTTATGATTATCTTTTTCTTCCTTAAACTTGTGACGGAAACAAATATTTTATGTGGAAGAAGGATTGAAGTGCTTTAAAACAGAAACAATGTGTCCTTTTAAGACTGAAGCTACAAACTCAAGTTCTCTTTTCCGGTCTCCAAAATTAGGTCGACCGTAGATTCGCGTTGTATCAGGCTCGGCCGTCATATGTAAATGATGACAAAACGACAATGTTTGGAGTGACAATTATGTGGTCAGGCTACAAAACCTTGCAATTGTTCCAGCGTTTGTAGCTGTCTTCATTCAGAGTGGAAAGTTCATTGAGGTTCCCATGGATCGATCAAGCACAATACCATCTCAGCACCAGAGCCTTGACCAAAGCTCAAATCCAGGGTGTTGATGGTGATTAGCAAATGGTATTATTAAATTATTAACAAAATCTGCAACATCTTGCTGCCATATGAAATGTATCCCTAACCCTTTTACTTCCAAGTCTGGTCGATTCGTTGTAACTGAAGCTTCAAATTGTCGACTCCCTTCATTCAATTGCCTTGCAAACTGCCCACCACGAGGCTCGTAGCAGCAAAGTTCATAGGACGACCCAACCCTGTAGTCTTCAAAGTTTTGAAAGACAGAGGATTCCGCCAGCTCATCTTTATGTTCAGTGGAAACAGAGGATTCCGCCAGCTCATCTTTATGTTCAGCGGATACAGAGGATTCGATTGGCACATCTTTGTTTCCGCCAAAACATAATCGTTTAAGGTTCGGAAGTAATATAATGGAGCCAGGCACTTCTGTTATAGCAGTTTTACAGGCATCAAGCTCTCGCAACTGTTCCAAGCTCCCCAGTTTTTCCGGCAGTATGTCAATAAGTAAGCAGCCAGACAGATATATATATATCTCAAAGATGTCAAACTACAAATGGCCATCGGAAGACTCGTAAGGTTCTTGCAATGACTTAAATTTAACAAAAAAAGGCCCCTCAATTGCTGGATTGATGCCGGCAGCTTCCTTATAGCCGTCCCATCTAAATAAAGTTCTGACAAAGCTTCCATGTTTCCCACAATCTCTGGAAACTCTTTAAGTTTTGAACAACCAGAAAGATTAAAGATTTTAAGAGATTCCAAGCTGATGGAGTGTGGAAGGCTCTCTAGACTTTCACAACCTTCCATATTCAATACAACGAGATGTTGGAGATCCCCAATTGTTGCGTGAACCTCTGATAATTTTTCACCACCTTCAAGAATCAACCTCTCAAGATTTGGGACCTTTCAGGGGTCTTGATCAAGAATTTGCAGTTGAAAAGATCCATTTGTACTAGGTTTTCCATCATGGTACACTGTTATGGAATTGGAAAAGAAAAAAGAGTTATTAGACAACTTAGCAATTATTGGGAAGATAAGCATTCTAGCTTTAACTTTATCATAACTAATTGTCAGCCTAACTCGGTGCAAGAAATATATATATATACATACATAAATTCTCCTATGCGGACATCAAAAGTTATCATAGTGCAAATGCCATGTATTTTCTACTACCTCACCCTACTTTTCTCCCTATTTACAATGGCATCCGCACACTAATAACGTGCGGACATACGGAAGAGAGAATAACTGTATATATATATACAAATGATCTTACACTTGTGACGGAAACAAATATTTTATGTGGAAGAAGGATTGAAGTGCTTTAAAACAGAAACAATGTGTCCTTTAAGACTGATGCAACAAAACTCAAGTTCTCTCTTCTGGTCTGCAAAATTAGGTCGACCATAGAGTTGTCTCAGGCTCGGCCATTATATGTAAATGATGACAAAACGACAGTGTTTGGAGTGACAATTATGTGGTCAGACTACAAAACCTTGCAATTGTTCCAGTGTTTGTAGCTGTCTTCATTCAGAGTGGAAAGTTCATGGAGGTTCCCATGGATCGATCATGCACAAGAGCTTTACAATGCAGACCAAAGCTCAAATCCTGGGTGTTGGTGATTAGCAATTGGTACTATTAAATTATTAACAAAATCTGCAACATATTGCTGCCATATGAAATGTATGCCGCACCCTTTTACTTCCAAGTCTGGTCGATTCGTTGTAACTGAAGCTTCAAATTGTCGACTCCCTTCATTCAATTGCCTTGCAAACTGCCCACCTCGGGGCTCGTAGCAGCAAAGTCCATAGGACGACCCAACACTGTAGCCGTCGAAGTTTTGAAAGACTAAGGGGTGTTCAAGACGACCTTCACAGGTGGAAAAATGGCAAACAGTCTTTTCCAATTCCCAACTTTTCTGAAAATTTTCATTCTCAAGGATTTCGAAAGCAACAAATAGGGCAAACCCCATACACCAACTATTACTACCTTCTGTATCAATAGGTAGTTTGGCTCTTACAGAAGACCCACTCATCCAATGTCTGCACCAGTTCGGAACTCTCGTACCATCAGGAAAATGAGCGCGAATTTCAAATGGCTTTTCATGATAAATTAGGTCCTGTACAAAAAATAATAATAAATAAATAAAACCAAAGAGAAAAACAATAATAAAGATGTTCAATATGAGAGAGAGAGAGGGAGAGAGAGAGAGAGAGAGAGAGAGAGAGAGAGAGTCAACACCTCAATGTATTTAAAAAATGTATTTAAAAAAGAATAGTTCATCATCAAGTTCTTCAGCCGCATTGGAATTTCCAGAAATCATGAAACTTAAACCGTTAATAGCAGTCCATACTGTCAAAGTCTTTGAAATTGGCAGCTTGGGACAATGACGTACATCTATGAACTTTATACTCAACGGAAGTTGTTTTGGCAACGACTGAAGTTTGCTACACCTAAACAACTTAAGTACTCTAAGCTTAGAAAGCTGAGACATGCTTTCAGGTATGTGCACAATATCACATTTACTCAAATTTAAAAGCAATAGGTGGATAATGCCGTTAGGCATCCTGCGTTCATGCTTATATGAGGCTTCAGAGGATTCCGCCAGCTCATCTTTATGTTCAGTGGAAACAGAGGATTCTGCCAGCTCATCTTTATGTTCAGCGGATACAGAGGATTCCACTGGCACATCTTCGTTTCCACGGAAACATAATCGTTTAAGCTTCGGAAGTAATAAAACGGACCATGGCATTTTTGTTATAGCAGTGTAACAGGCCTCAAGCTCTTGCAACCGTTCCAAGCTCCCCAGGTTTTCCGGCAGTACGTCAATCCGTGAGCAGCCAGACATATATATATATATCAAAGATGTCAAACTACAAATGGCCATCGGAAAACTCGTAAGGTTCTTGCAACCACTTAAATTTAACAAAATAAGGCCCCTCAATTGCTGGATTGATGCCGGCAGCTTCCTTATAGCCGTCCCATCTAAATAAAGTTCTGACAAAGCTTCCATGTTTCCCACAATCTCTGGAAACTCTTTGAGTTTTGAACAACCAGAAAGATTAAAGGTTTTAAGAGATTCCAAGCTGATGGAGTAGGGAAGGCTCTCTAGACTTTCACAACCTTTCATACTCAATACAACGAGATGGTGGAGATCCCCAATTGTTGCGTGAACCTCTGATAATTTTTCACAACCTTCAAGAATCAACCTCTCAAGATTTGGGACCTTTCTGAAGTCTGGGGTCTTGATCAAGAATTTGCAGTAGGAAAGATCCATTTGTACTAAGTTTTCCATCGTGGTACACTGTTATGGAATTGGAAAAGAAAAAAGAGTTATTAGAAGATAAGCATTCTAGCTTTAACTTCATCATAACTAATTGTCAGCCTAACTCGGTGCAAGAAATATATATATATACATACATAAATTCTCCTATGCGGACATCAAAAGTTATCATAGTGCAAATGCCATGTATTTTCTACTACCTCACCCTACTTTTCTCCCTATTTACAATGAAATTGTCAGCCATGTATTTTCTACTACCTCACTCTGCTTTCCTCCCTATTTACAATGACATCCACACAATAATAACGTGCGGACATATACAGAAGAGAGAATAACTGTATATATATATATATATATACACAAATGATCTTACACTTTCATGCCATAGTTGGGTAATGCGACTGTTAGGCATCTTGAGTTCAACAAGCTGACATGGTTTAAAACTTGATGGCAGAGATTCTAAAGGATATTCATGCCATTCCAGAAGCCGTAACTCTTTAGAGAAATACTCAGGGCATCTAGAAAAGTTCACATTACAAATCTTCAACAATCTTAGGTTGCACATTTTAGCAAATGGGTCAGCATCCAACTGTATCTCTTCCTTTGCCAGCAAGCTCAGGAATATGCCTTCGACAGCAGTTGTTCCCTATACCAAACAATAAACTTCAAGTGTAAGACATAGCATGCTAGACAATAAGATGAACAAATAACCTAATAATTAATTCACATCTATTATCTAGAACATAGAGAAAATGTAAAGGAGAACAAGTGAAGAAAGGCAGGAAGGAGGGACGGGGGAAGAATGGATGAGTGATAAATGGTATGAAAACCAAAACACAAAAGCTAAAAACAATTTTAAATAGTTTTTTGTTTTAAGTTTTTAATTTCACACATTCTCTTTTAGTTCTTCCTCATTTATTCCTCTCCCTCCTCCCCTTTTCCTCCCTCATTCCTTCCATACATTTGCCCTCTATCATTAACCATAAAAGAAAAACTAAAAACGAAAGTATTACCAAATAAACTTTTAATAACTTAATAAGTTTCTTAAAATTTTATGCTTAAATTATTGTCTGAGCACATACTATGATATTAATCTCATCTTACCTGTCTAAATTCATTTTGCCTCACTTAACCCTCTGAAATTTATCTATTTATCTTACTTCTCCCCTTCCCGTCAACTCTCTTAAAGGGTCCATGAAGTCACAAGTGGGGGCCCACTTGTGACTTGATAAGTTAGTCAGGTTGTCGCCAAGTGTATTAGGGAGACCACATTTGTGTTCTTCAAGGTTTTAATGTTTTTTTATCACTACCTTAAGGGTTTACTTTTGAAGAAAGAAAAAAAATTTATGCTTGTACTAACTAGGATTAACACGTACCGTATTCTCTGCGAGTACTTTGTCATGCCATGACCTGCTGCGTTTGTAGGCATTCTCATTAATCCACAACCTACTGCGCTTTCCGGGCTCATTAGGAAATTTTCTACGAACAATGTCTTGACCCATTTTCCGGAGTAAATCATGCATCCACAGTTCATTTCTTTCGTTAATTTTAATTAGGGCTTTATCAAGAAGGTCACGCATACCACTTTCAGGATAAAACCAGCAACTTGCTAATATCCTCTTTACACGAACTTGATCCTCTCCATTAAAGAAGCATGCAATGTCCAGAAAGATTTGTTTCACTGTGTTCTTTAATGCGTCAAAACTTACTTTAAGCACATTCATAATGTCTTTTTCAGGATCTTCATCAAGTCTGTCAAATGCTTCTGACCATTCTGCTACATTTTTTACCCTCAAGCATGAACCCAAAACTTCAAGAGCTAAAGGAATGCCACCAGCATATTCTACAAATTTTTTGGACAGCTCTTTATAATCATGTGGAGCATCGTTTTCCTTGAAGGCTTTTCGGCAAAAGAGCTGAAAATCTTCACCAACCTTCAGCTTGTCAACCTCGTATATACTATCTGCAAGTAGTCCGCACGTATCCAACTCGTGCTTCTCCCTAGTTGTTATAATGACTCGACTCCCTGAACCCAACCAAGACTCATCTGCTAAAGCCTTTATTTGATCTAGTTTATCAACATCGTCCAGAACAATAAGCACCTTTTTTTTCCTTAGTCTAGTACGTAACAATTGGATCCCCAAATCAGCATTTTGTATATCTTCTTTGCAGCTCAGCAAGGTTGCAAACAGAAATTTTTGCATGCCAGCTAGACCATTTACTTTTGTGGATTCCTCTCTAACAGAGGAAACGAAGCATTTAGCATCAAATTGGTTCCTGATCTTCTTAAAAACTTCGTTTGCGAGAGTTGTCTTACCAATGCCCCCGAACCCCCAAATCCCTATGGTGCGAACATCATCTGACCTGCAAAGAGCCAAGTACTCCTCCATTTTCTTAATACGAGAATCCATTCCAATTAAATCGTTGCTAGAACTTGAGAGTTTGTCGTTCAATATATTTGAAATCTTGTTAGCTATTTCCTCAATAACTTTTGATTCTTTCCTGCAAAAGAATACAATAACTATTTTGTGGTTAGCTGGCCACAAGTGACATGCAATAAAGTAAATTAGAAATATTAATTGTTGTGTCGGAAATGGCTATGTCAGAGCTTTGCTTTCGTGGTCAGCGAGCATCTCCAAGGGAGATGTCAAATACCAAACATCAAATTTAAATTTGATGGTTGATGTGGCAATTTAACATCTTACACAGCTTTACACTCCACCCGATATGTCAAATTAAATTATTATTATATTACATTTTAGTGTTGATTTATTTTTAATTAAAAAGAAAAGAAAAGAAAAAATAATAAAATATTCATTTGACATCTTGCTTTTGGGATGTCAAAAATAACATCTCAACCTCCAGCCTTCATTCCACATTAACTTTGACACATCGATTGGAGTGATGTGAGATGTTATTTGTGGGAACCAATTAAATCAAAACCCTAGGTCAAATAATTCCTTCCATTTGGGGATTATTTGACCTAATTGGGAATTACTCAACCTAATTGGGAGTTACTCAATTTAATTGGGAGTTACCCAATTAAATTGAGAATTACCTAATTAAGTTGGGAATTGATTTGATTCCTACCCCAATTCCCAATTAAATGAGGAGTTACCTAATTAAATTAGGATTTGATCTGATACCTACCACGATTAGGGATTTGATTTACCCAAATAAATCAAATCCCTAATTAATCAAATCAATGCCAAATCAGGGAGGAATAATTCCTTACCAACTACGGAATTAATCCTCTGAAACCCTAATCTCCGAGACCATTATAAATACTTGGCTACGCACAAAGGTCAAGGTACGTCTAAATTCCTACTGAAACTCTGCAGAAATTATTTCTCACAAACCCTAGCCACCACTTTCTTTCTCTCTCTGACACAAGGCTCCGGCCACCACACACGGCTCTGGCCACCCGGTTTTCCTTGAAATACCCTACCTAACTTAGGCATCGGAGGGCCTTTGGCCAACACCCCCCTGGTGTGGTCCTTTTACCCCAATCTGTTTTGCAGGGAGAAAGAGAAGTGGAGAAGACGAAGGAATCATTGACGAATATTCTAGTGGGACGAAATTTGCTCCCACATTATTTATAATGTTAAATGTCTATGTGGCACTTTTGACACATTGGTTGAAGATGCTCTCTAATGGAGTTCGATTATGTTGCACCTTAATACTAACCCATCTCTCTGTCCATTTCCTTTTCCTTTCTCTCCCGGTCTTCCTCCTTTCTCTTCAGGCCCAGAATTTGAACCGCACAAAACACTGCTGCTGCTGCTTCATAAATATCAAAATCTGGAATTTGCTTCCTATATATCCCCCATTGCAGCACCACCTTTCAAAACCGCGCTAATAACACCCATAATGTTTTTTTTATCATAAAATATCCAACCTCCGACCACCATATATTCCACCACCTTTGACCTCTCGCTTTCACTATCCCTCTCTTTCTTCTCCTCTTTCTCTCACTTAATCTCTCATCACCGGATGGTCCTATGTTAAAAACATTAATATCTCCAAAGAACAATATCTTTTATCAGAGACCAGCCACGTACATGATATTTCCAATCAGATCACCTACGTGCTTTCTGCATATCTTGCTATAAATATTATATGCAATCAAGCCACAAAACTTAGGTGCACCAGTTCATGTAAGAACCCTATTTGAGTTCACATCTATTTAGGAATCCAATTTGATCAGGGATACAAGGGAGAGATAAGCTGGGTATACACAGATAAGTTTGATAGAGTTGAAGCTCTATCTCACTTGTGGAATATCTATTATATTAGGCTATGGATTCATGAGGTGGTAAGGATAAGCTCTAAGGATTCCTTTATGGGCTAGGAACCTCAAGGCTCTCACCTATAAAACTAAGGCTTCGGTCCCCACTCTCATGCACAGAAAAACAGACTCATATTCTTACCCATACAGGAGAGATTTAGAGTGCATAGAGAGAGGAAGACCAAGGCCAGTTCGTGTGTTTTTGCTACTGTTGTTGTGCTTGCTCTAATGGCTTCTCAAGGTTAGTGCTTATAGATTACATGTGAAATAAGAACTTAAATGTGGTATCAGAGTAGTCATATGCATCTATAGCTCTAAACAAGATAAAATTGAGAAGCATGCATATTTGTTTTGTGTTGATTTAAAATTGTTTCAGGCATGCCATGTTAATGAATCAATCTTACGTTTTGTTTCGAGATCCTGGACTTTGATGTGCTGTTTGTTGTTTCAAAATTTGATAGAAGTATGCTTAGGATAAAAGAGATCAAAACTGGTTTTCCTTAATAAAAAAATATGTTATGATTCCACATAAATAATAACATTCCATAAAGTGTTGCCATGTTTGATAGAGAATAATTTGTTATTGCTCAGTCTACAGATGAGTATTAATTGATGGTTTCATATCATCTCAAAGTATCAATGGCAAAATTGTGTCATAGGGTACAACAATTGGTTTTCTCCGCTTACAAGTGTGAACTCCAATTGTTGGTGCTCCATGATAGAACAAGAGAGTTCATTAGTTGTTGTGAGTGATCAAGCATTACTGTCCATAGACAGTAAATTGTTTTGATAAAGGAAAATCACACAGTTCATCTTGCTGGACTTGTGAAGGAAATTATGGGCATTTTGATATATTGTCCACAGATGTGTGTCATATGTGCATAAAGTTTTTGGGGTAAAGATTAATTGTATTGCAAAATTCTATGTTTTCAGTTGTGAATCCCTTTGCTATCAATTCAATTGAACCACTGACTGGTAGCAATTTTAAGAAGTGGAAGAGAGACTTAGAGATAGTTATGGGACTTTTAGATCACGACTTAGCGCTAAGAGAAGAGAAACTTGAGGTCACTGCTAATAGCAATGTTGAACAGAAGCAGAAACCCGAGAAGTGGGAGAAGGCAAATAGGATATGCCTACTTGTCATGAAAAAATCCATGACATACACTATTTGTGGGGGCATCACTGAATCTGAGAATGCTAAGGAGTTTTTGGGGGCTATAGGACTGAAGTTTAAAGAATCCGAGAAGGCAGAAACTAGAACCTTGATGACCAAACTTGCAACCATAAAGTATGATGGTGTTGAGGACATAAGGGTTTATCTTTTGAGCATGATAGAAGTAGCAAGCAAGTTGAAAGCACTTGAGATCCCTATAGCTAACCCTTTTCTAGTTCACCTTGCATTAAATTCTCTTCCCTCTCAGTTTGCTCAACTAAAGGTGATCTACAATGCTCAAAAGGACAAATGGAGCCTCAATGAACTGATTTTAGTTTGTGTTCAAGAAGAGGCAAGAATGAAGAAGGAGAACTAAAGGTGATCTACAATGCTCAAAAGGACAAATGGAGCCTCAATGAACTGATTTCAGTTCGTGTTCAAGAAGAGGCAAGAATGAAGAAGGAGAAAGAAGTGAACACAGTCCATCTCACAACCAATGCTCCAAAAAGACATCACCCTAAGCCAAACTCATCTGCTGCTAAGGCCAACTCTCCACCCAAAGGTTCCAATGCTCTAGCTGTTAACAAAACCAATGTCTTTAAGTGCTATTTTTATGACAGGGCAGGTCATCTTAAGAGGGAGTGTCATAAGTATAAGTGTTGGGTAGAGAAAAAGAAGGCTAAAGGTAAATCAAATTTTGTTTCAGTTTGTTTTGAGTATAGTTCTGTCAATATACCTTCTAATTTTTGGTGGATTGATACTGGTTCATTAATCCACATTGCCAATTCTTTGCAAGACTTTATAAGCCAGAGCAAACCAAGTAGAGATCATGACCATCTCTTCGTAGGAAATGGCAAGAAGGTGGCAGTTCTTGCTGTAGGATCAGTCCAACTTCAACTAGTTTTAGGATTTTCTTTGGTTTTAAAAGATGTTGCTTATGTACCTTCCATGAGAAGGAATTTGATTTCAGTTTCTAGATTGGCCAGGGAGAAATTTATTTTTGTTTTTTCTGAGGTGGGATTTAATTTGAATTTTAATGAAAATGAAGTTGGCAATGGTGTTTTAGTTGATGGTCTCTTTAAGCTAAATTGTTTCAGTTCAAACAATGTTTTTGCCATTGACTCCATAGGTCAAAAACGATCTCAAAACAATGAAAATTCAGCAAGGCTATGGCATAAAAGGCGATGCCATGTGTCTACGAAAAGAATGCAATACCTTGTGAAAGAACAAATCCTTCCTCCCTTAGATTTTTCAGATTTTGAAGAATGCATTGAATGCATTAAAGGAAAAATGACTAACTCAAGAAAATTAGGTTCCACTCGAAGCCAAAATCTTCTTGAAATTATTCACACAGATATCTGTGGCCATTTTCCAGTTCCAACCATAGAAGGTCATAGGTATTTCATCACCTTCATTGATGATTTCTCTAGGTTTTGTTATGTATATCTAATCCAGAACAAGTCTAGTGCTTTTGAAGTTTTTAAAGTCTTTAAAACTGAAGTAGAAAATCAATTAGAATTAAAGATTAAAGTTTTAAGGTCAGATAGGGGTGGAGAGTATTATGGCAAGTATGATGAGCAAGGCAGACATCCTTCACCCTTGTCACGTTTTCTACAAGATTGTGGAATTATTGCTTAATATACAAACCCTGGAACACCTCAGGAGAATGGAGTTTCAGAGAGAGGAAATAGAACTTTAAAGGACATGGTGAGAAGCATGATTTGCAACACTGATCTTCCAAAATTTCTGTGGGGTGATGCAATCAAAACTGCAAATTACATTCTAAATAGATGTCCAAGCAAGTCAGTTCCTAAGACTCCTTTTGAGTTGTGGAATAAGAGAAAACCTAGCCTTAATCACTTACACGTTTGGGGTTGTAGAGCTGAAGCCAAAGTCTATAATCCTGAGCTTGCTAAACTTGATCCAAAAACAGTAAGCTGCAGATTCATTGGATATGCTGACAGATCAAAAGGTTTTCGATTCTACTATCCTAATTACGTGAATATAATTGTGGATACAGGCAAGGCAAGGTTTATAGAGCATGATGACAGTGAAGGAGTTCATAAAGACTTTGTTTTTGAAGAAGAAGGAGAGATAGGAACTGAAACTGTAAATGTCACAAATCCAGTGTTGCCCTTGCCATTAAATCAGATGTCTTCTCAAACTAATCCACCAACTGAACCTGTGATTCATGATCAAGACATGGAGGATTTGAATAGGGAAGAGAATGAACATGAGGCTTTTGAGAATCAACAGTTGCCACAACAAGAGCTGAGAAGATCTACAAGGGATAGAAGACCAAATGTGCTGCCAGATTTTGTATACTTGAATGAAGCTGAATTTGACGATATTGAATTTGAGGACCCATCAACTTATAAACATGCTATGTATAGTGAATACTCTGCAAAGTGGATTGAAGCTATGCAATTGGAGTTGGAATCCATGCAAAGTAACAATGTGTGGGAGCTAGTTGAGCTGAGACAAGGAATTAAACCTATTGGTTGTAAGTAGGTGTTCAAAACTAAGAAAGACTCTAAGGGTAACATTGAGAGACACAAAGCAAGGTTAGTGGCAAAGGGTTTCACACAACAAGAAGGAGTAGACTACAATGAAACTTTCTCACCGGTTTCAACCAAGGATGCTTTTAGGATCATAATGGCACTTGTGGCTCATTTTGATTTGTTTTTACATCAAATGGATGTGAAAACAGCCTTTCTCAATGGAGATTTGAGTGAAGAAATTTTCATGCTACAACCTGAGGGTTTTATAGAAGAAGACAGTGAGCATTTGGTATGTAAATTGAAGAAATCAATTTATGGTTTGAAGCAAGCCTCTAGACAATGGTATCTCAAGTTTGACAAGATCATTACTTCAAATGGTTTTGTCAAAAACAGATTAGATGAGTGCATATACTTAAAATTCAGTGGGAGTAAATTCATTTTTCTAGTTCTTTATGTAGATGACATCTTGCTTGCTAGTAGTGATGAAAGTCTTTTACATGAGACTAAGAGTTTTCTTTCCATGAGTTTTGAGATGAATGACCTTGGAGAAGCATCATATGTATTAGGAATCGAAATCCACAGAGATAGAGAAAAAGGGTTGCTAGGTTTGTCGCAAAAGGCATAATTGAGAAGGTGTTGAAGAAATTTAACATGCTTCAAAGTAATGGAGCTAAGGTTCCTGTTTCAAAAGGAGACAGACTAAGCAAAGAAGATTGTCCAAGGAATGATGTAGAAAGGGTAGAAATGAAGGACAAACCATATGCTTCGGTCGTAGGCAGTATCATGTATGCACAAGTGTGCACACGACCTGATCTAGCATTTTCCATTAATGTATTAGGCAAGTATCAATCTGATCCAGGCATTGCACATTGGAAGGCTGCAAAGAAAGTGTTGAGATATATGCAAAGAACAAAAGGACATATGTTAGTCTACAAAAGAACAAACAGCTTGGAGTTGGTTGGTTACATAGATTCAGATTTTGCAGGATGCAAAGATACTTCCCAGTCAACTTCCAGTTTTGTGTTCATGATGGGAGGAGGTGCAGTTGCTTGGAAGAGTGCAAAACAACCATCTATAGCTACATCTACTATGTTTGTTGAGTACGTGGCGTGTTATGAAGCTACTTCACATGCCATGTGGTTGAAGAATTTCATACAAGACCTAGAAGTAGTTGATTCTATAGAGAAGCCTATTTAGCTGTTTTTGTTAAAATATGAACATGGTTTAAATACTTTGGGTTAGTTTTTATTCTTCTCCATAAGGAGGTATATATAGGAGTTTACATGAGTGCTTTAGAAGGAAATAAATATAGTAATCAATTATGATAGTATCTCCTAATTATACAATGATTTGTCAACTATATAGAATAGGAAAGTAAATCCCTTAATTAATCAAGAAAATAAATCTCCTTGATTAATTAGGAGACTCATGTCAACACTCCTCCTCAAGTTGGTGTATATATGTCACCAATACCCAACTTGGTAAGTGAGTCATGAAATACTCTGCCACAAACAGCTTTTGTTAAGATATCTGCTAGTTGATCTTTTGATTTTACGAATGGTAGGCGAATGATCTTCTCAATTTTTTCTTTGATAAAATATCTATCCACCTCAACATGTTTGGTTCGATCATATTGAACTGGATTATAGGCAATATCGATAGCTGACTTGTTGTCACAATGCAACTCCATTGGCTTTTCTGGCTTGAAGCCCAATTCTGTCAAGAGTCTTCTGATCCATAATAATTCACAAACTCGTCATTCCTCAATACTCTGCTTCTGCACTAGACCGAGAAACCACATTTTGCTTTTTACTTCGCCAAGTAACTAGGTTACCTCCCACGAATGTAAAGTAACCAGAAGTAGAGCATCTATCTGTAATGGAACATGCCCAATCAGCATTTGCATATCCAATAACTTCAAGATCTCCATTTTTTGAGAACATTAATTATTTCCCAGGGGCTGACTTTAAGTATCTTAAGATCCGATCAACTGCATTCCTATGAGAAACACTGGGCGAATGCATAAATTGACTAACCACACTCACAACATATGCAATATCTGGTTTTGTGTGTGCCAGGTATATCAACTTTCCAACAAGGCGTTGGTACTATTCCTTATTGGTTGGTTCTTGGTCAATGTCTTCACACAACTTGTGATTCATCTCAATGGGTGTGTTAGCAAGCTTACATCCAAGTATTCCTGATTCAGTGAGTAGATCCATTACATACTTCCTTTGAGACAGAAATATACCAATTTTTGACCTTGCTACTTTGATTCTGAGAAAGTACTTCAGATCACCTAAATCCTTCAACTCAAATTTCTGAGAAATACTTTTGTAACTTCAATTGCTCTTCTGTGTCGTTTTTAGTTACAATTATGTCATCTACATAAACAATCAATGCAGTAAGTTTTCCTTCATCACGCTTCAAGAACAGGGTGTGATCTGAATTACTCTGTGTATATTCAAAATTCTTCATAGATTTAGTAAATCTGCCAAACCATGTCCTAGGAGATTGCTTTAACCCATGTAATGACTTTCTGAGCTTGCAAACTTGATTTTTCTTATTAAAAGCTGATTTTTCTAAGCTTACATCCTAGGGGTAAGTCCATATATACTTCTTCTTCCAAGTCTCCATGTAAGAATACATTTTTGACATCAAATTGATGTAGTGGCCAATCGAGATTTGCTGCTAGAGACAATAGGACTATAATAGTGTTAATCTTGGCTATTAGGGCAAAGGTCTCCTCGTAGTCTATCCCATATCTCTGTGTGTACCCATTCACCACCAATCTAGCTTTATATCTTTCAAAGGATCTATCTGCTTTGAGTTTCACAGTATAAATCCACCTGAGTCTTATTGTCTTCTTTCCATGAGGTAAAGACATGAGTTCCCATGTGACATTCTTTTGGAGAGCTCGCATTTCTTCATTCATAGCTTCTTTCCATTTTGGGTCTTTTAGTGCTTCAGTTACACTGTTGGGGACAGATATGTCAGTCAACTGCTTCACATAGTGCACACGTGACTCTGATAATCTGCTGAGAGATATATAATTATTGATGGGGTATTTCCTTTTGGCTTTAAGATCTGCTTCATATTGTACTCGAGGTTTGCCACAGTTATTCCTTTCTAGAAGCTGATATCTAGGCTCTGTTCCTTCTGAAATCAAATCATGATGGGATATTTCATTAGTGTTATTAGTTTCAGAAAAAGATGTTACCTGAATGACTTCCTCAGCAGGTGATTGGTGCAATACTGGAGCTAAAGCGGGCAAAATCTCATAAACCGGTTCAATTTCCTCCTCTTGATTTTGACAGCGTGGAGACAATATACTAGCGATCAGTCATTATGAAGCAGATTATCTGTAGTTGAAGAACTAAAGGGGTGCGACGGGTTGCTTTCCACTGGCGACGGGTCATTTTGATGCAGAGTGACGTTCTGGGGAAAAAAAATCAAGAATTAGAGCAGTGGTAGATTCTCGATTCTCTTCCTGGGCTGTTGAAAAATATAAATCATGTTCCCGAAACACAGCATCTATGGAGGTAAAGACCTTATGATTAGGAGGATGATAACACCAGTATCCTTTCTGATGAGGTGCATAGCCAATGAAAACACACTTTTTGACTCGAGGATCCAATTTGCTTCGTTAGTGATCATGTAAGTAGACAAATACAACACAGCCGAAAATCCAAGGTTCCAGATTTGGGGTGGGAGGTGTTTGGATATGGTGGTGAAGTGTTTGAAGTGGTGTTTGAAAATTTAGGATACTAAAGGGAATCCGATTGATAAGGTATGCTAGAGATGACGGCTTCGCCCCAAAAGGATCGTGGCATATTGGCACCAAAGAGAGAGGCACAAATGACTTCCAATAAGTGTATTATTTCTTTCGGCCACCCCATTCTGTTGGGGAGTGTAAGGGCATGAACGTTGATGTATGATGCATGATCTTGTAAGAACTGGTTAAGATCATGGTTGAGAAATTCTCCGCCATTGTCAGAATAAAGAACTTGAATTCTGCCATGACACTGAGTCTCCACCATTTGATAAAACTATTGAAACCTGGAATTGACTTCCCCTTTAGTTTTGAGAAGGGAAACCCAAGTCATGCATGTGCAAGCATCTATAAACGTGACAAATCATCGCGCCCTTGACAGAGTGGCAAATTTAGCAGGTCCCCAAACATCAGAATGAACAAGAGAAAACGAAACCAAACTCATATTTGAACTTAATGGGAACGGGACACGATGGCTCTTAGCCAATTCACACGTATCACACTGGAAGCTGGAAACATCAAGACTGGAAAATAATGATAGAAAAAACTTCTTAAGTTAACTGAACGAGGCATACCCAAGACGTTTATGCCATAACCAAATTTTGTCTCTCTCCTCCTCAGAACGAGTTCCACTGGTTGTAAAAGCTTGACCAACCTTGATCTCACTATCCAGTGCCGAGTCAAAGTAGTAGAGTTTGCCCCGCCGAGTACCACAACCAATCGTCTTTCCTGTGAGAATGTCCTGAAAAGCACAATGATTCAGCCAAAATGTTACAGTACACCCCAAAGTAGTAGTAAGTTGCGCAATAGATAGTAAGTTATGGTCCAAAGATGGAACAGGGGAGGGGGTACCATTAGCATTAGACACCACCGACGGAGTGGATGATTTGCGACTAATAAGTTGGCCAGGATCAAATGCCATGTGATCCGTAGCACCCGAGTCGATAATTCATGCGGATTTTTGAGAGGACGTATGAAATGTAGAACCTTTGGTGGTGGCGATATAAGCATGAGTCCAGGTAGCCAGGTCAGCAGGATTGACCGCATGTTTCTGTGAGTCTGCAATAAGGGAGAGAATCGTAGGGGTTCCTGACATCACAACGGAAGTAAGATGTGATATGAGAATGTGAGGAACTGTGATTGTCGGAATTTGATTTGAGGAATTGATGTATGAATTTGATATAGGAAATGGATTTGAGAGGTATGTATATAAGATTTGAGGGTATGTGTTGAGGGATTTTGCTAAGAGGATTTGAGGACTTTAGATTTGAGGGATTTGGATTTGGGGAAAAATATGAGGAATTTGATTTAGGGTTTCGGATTTGAATATGAGAAATTTGAGATAAGGGTTTAGAGACAACCTAGGATCGATTGCTCTGATACCATACTAAAATATGAACATGGTTTGAATACTCTGCGTTAGTTTTTATTCTTCTCCATAAGGAGATATATATAGGAGTTTACATGAGTGTTTTACAAGGAAATGAATATAGAATTAGGATAGTATCTCCTAATTATACAATGATTTGTCAACTATATAGAATAGGAAAGTAAATCCCTTAATTAATCAAGGAAATAAATCTCCTTAATTAATTAGGAGACTCACGTCAACAGTTTTGTGACAATAAAGGAGCAGTGTTCTTTTGCAAGAACAATAAAAGGTGAGATTTTCTATTTAAACCCCACACTTCTCTTAGTTCACCCCATGTTCTAAGTTCACCCCAACTTTTAATTTAAATTTTCACAATTTCTAAGAAAACCCCATTATATTCCTAAACTACCCTTAAATACACCCCAAACTGAAAAAATAAGAACTAAAAGAGATTTTCTATTTAAACCCCGCAATTTTCTTTGTTCCCAGCCAAAAAAAACACAAACAAATGAAACCCCAAATCCGAGTTTAATACTTTCTAGAGAAAGAGAACAGCTTTACCTCTCTCCAAGAACTGTAACTGAAATTCTAACACTTCGGTCTTGTTGAGAACTTGAGAGAGAGAGAGAGAGAGAGAGAGAGATTGTAAACAGGAAGTTGGAATGAGGTTTCTAAAACTTAATATGAAGAGTGGTGGGGTGTATGGAGTGTGTGTGTATAAATGTACTAGGGTTAATTATTAAGTTGGATGACCTTTTTTGTCTTTTTACACAATAAAATAACTTACAGCTTAATGATTTAAGTATTGGGGTGAACAAAGAGAAGTGTGGGGTTTAAATAGAAAATCTCTAAAAGGTCTGCTGGACTCAAGCATATGAAAGTTAAGTATTTGCTAGTAAGAGAAAAGGTTCAAGAGGGCTTAACCACCGTTGATTATATCAACACTACAGAAATGATAGCAGATCCCTTAAATAAAGCAATTCCAAACAATGCTTTTCATAGGCATGTGACCAATATGGGATTACTGTCCAGTTTCGAAGATTCTTTGGTCTAGTGGGAGTTGATGACTTGTTCTCATTTCAGCTGTTTTGTTTAAGTTTTGTTTGTTGTTTGAGCTAGTGTTTTTGTCTTTTCATCTGGTTAAATTATTCTGGACAGTTTGGATTCTTAAATGAATATTGATTAAATTTCATTGATTTTGCAATATGATTACAGTTTACGGTTCAAGTTGTAAAACTATTTAAGCTACAGGTAAGATCATGTGTATAAATATATTGATCATAAAGAGGACCATTCATGTGGTGAATGAATAACTTCAAAGATTAGATCATTCATCATGTGATGTTGGACATAGCTTGTTGGTACTCTATGTGTATGTTACTGCTTGCTGTGATTATAGGTGGATGATACCATGTAATGGTTATCGTGTCTGTAGTCCTTTATGTTGGTAATATTTGACAATGAGTTTGATATAGATATTGTTATCAAGCTGTCTTTCCAAACTTTGCACATAAGGTTTTGATCCTTGATCTTTAAAGAAGAGTCTTAAATGGATGTTTCACTCAAGTGGGAGAATGTAAGAACTCTATTTGAGTTCACATCTATTTAGGAATCCAATTTGATCAGGGATACAAGGGAGAGATAAGCTGGGTATACACGTATAAGTTTGACAGAGTTGAAGCTCTATCTCACTTGTGGAATATCTATTATATTAGGCTATGGATTCATGTGGTGATAAGGATAAGCTTTAAGGATTCCTTTATGGGCTAGGAACCTCAAGGCTCTCACCTATAAAACTAAGGCTTCGGTCCCCACTCTCATGCACAGAAAAACAGACTCATATTCCTACCCATACAGGAGAGATTTAGAGTGCATAGAGAGAGGAAGACCAAGGCCAGTTCGTGTGTTTTTGCTACTGTTGATGTGCTTGCTTTAATGGCTTCTCAAGGTTAGTGCTTATAGATTACATGTGAAATAAGAACTAACAGTTCCCTCTTTCTCACACAACTTAGGTGCATGATGTGTGAGAAAGAGAGAATCAGTGTATGCAACTGGTACTGGAAAGTTCTTCTCCCATTTTAGTTAATTAAACAAGGCCACAAGTTGTCATTTCTTTTTAAGCATCAAATTTATTCAATTTGCTGCATCAAGCAAAAAAGAATAGCTATATAATAGAGAACCATAAACATCAATGGGAAAAAGTAATAAAATGAATAAGCATAATCATCTAATCAAGCAGGGCATATGTTATTAAAACAGTTAAATATAAGACTACCTTGTAATTTCAATTAAAGAAGAAGAGTACTAGAAATACCTATTTTTCAAATCCCATCCAGCAACATTGGCTACTTTCCTCAGAGCTCTCCTCCACTTTTTCACCTTCCCTTTTTCCTTCTTAAAATTTTCTTCATGCTTTGCAAAGGCCTTTCCAAAATTTCCTGTTTGATTTCTTACCTCGGATGCCTCGATGTAGTAGAAGACCGGAAACACTTCTAGTCTTCCCTCTTTCATGCACTGAACAATATGGGCAAGTTCATCCAAACACCAAGTTGAAGAAGCGTAGTCTTTTGAAAGAACAACGACTGCAAACTTGGAGTGTTCAATTGCTTTCAGGAGTTTTGGTCTGATGAGTTTTCCCCTCTCAAGCTTCTCTTCATCCCTGAATGTATCGATTCCTTTCAGATCCAAACCGTGATATAAATGGTCCGTAAAACTATTGCGGGTGTCTTCACCCCTAAAACTAAGGAAGACATCAAAGTCCAATGTTTCAGGGGTTGAAGATGAAGAAGATGAAGGCACTGCTTGGGGAGCTTCCTCATGCTCCAATTCAGGGGTTGAAGAAGAAGGAAACTCAGTACGTCCTAGGAGAAAATTAACAAGGTGAAGAATTAAAGAAGGAAGGAGGAGGAGGAGGATTATGAACATGATGATGGGTAAATTCAACAGAAGGTTTGCATCATGAAAGGAGGAGGAACATATATTGCTTTTATTTGGTCAACGCTCGGCAGTGGCAAATTTCCGCGTTTTGGGAAAGCAGGTGAAAGGAACTTATGGGGAAAAGCGGAAACTTCCTAGGCGGCATCATAGAAAACGACGACACAATGACTTCTTCTACCTTTCAAATCATTTTGCATAACAGAGAGGTCAAATTGGTTGGTTTCAAGTTATAAATAATTTTTCATCTTCATACTTCATTACATAATACGTGATTTATTAGTGTAATAAGTTTGTATAATAAATTAGTATGCTTTGTTGCCCCATAAATTAGTCAGTTCTACATGAAACGCAGGATTTTGAGACGAGAGATTCTAGTGCGCCCCTGCAGCAAATGGAGGGGCAAGCCAAAATATTTTAAGCAATTGTCCAGATTACTCTGAGCACCAAAGTTTAAAAACAAAACCTGTAATCATTACCCAACTCCTTTGGCATCAAATGCAACAGAGTTATGGCTTACTATCCACTTTCTTTCTATTCAAACTACATTCAAAGAAGTGAAGCTACACGAGATCAAAACTGAATAGCATTTTACACAACTTTCACAAATCTTGAGTAACAAGTGCGGAACTGTCTTTCAGAATCTTCCGTGCACGCCAATAGACAGCAGAAGCTGTTTCTGATGTTCCCATCTGTAAAATTAGTGGAATATGCTAAACTTATCAGTAGGTTTTTTGAGATTACATGATAAAAATGTGATCAAACAATGAACACCAAGTATTATTAAAAACAGATTCCGAGTACAAAGCCGCACAAAAACGATAGTGGCAGGGCGGTGTTCACAATTCCTGTCTCAGGTCAGGACACTAACAGAAATGGAACTGTTTTTTAAAATGGAAATTGTAGTTTTCTGGATAGTAGATGCCTATATATAAAGCCAGTTAAACTAAAATAATAATATTTAAAAAAGGCCAGTCTGCTCCGCTGATAGGCAGAGACTGCAAAATGGTTGGTCTGCTTCCAAATTTAATCAAACAGTAAAACCCCAACCTTATGCATGCACTGAATGGACTTTATGAATGCATTGTTAAATAGATGTAAAACCATAGGAAAGCTCACCTTGGTCTCCATACAATAGTAATCTCGCCATAAGTGCAGATTTTGGTCGTAATTTTTAAGTGCAGATTCATATAACTTTCGGGCATTAACAAGACTATCTTTATCGCCATTGGATGCAAGGTTTGATTCCAATTCAATGCAGGTCCTATATATCGCAAGCCCAGGGTGCGGTAAAGCAAGAAAGCTGCAATTCAAACAGGACACAAGCTTTAAAACTTCTTGGAGAGAACACTGCAGAAGCTATGATCATCAAATTTATGTAAAAAATTATTTTCATTGAAGTCAAAATGTATAGTTAATATGGTTGTGAAAATCTCCTTGGGGGAAAAATCAAGCTCATAATAAAATGACATACCGCTTATACACATCCCTAGCATGTCGAACTCCATCCTTTTGAAGAACAAAATTCACAATAGCGGAAGAAAGAGAGAATCCATTTTCAGGGCCACCATCTTTAGCTAATGATTTAACAGAAATCTCAACTAATTTTTCAAAATAATGCTTTTGATTTGCAAAGATTTTGAGGGCCTGCAATATGAGATAATGTTAACTTTTCTCACAAAGATGCTGCATCAGCTAATGACTCACAGTCAAACACAGAAGAGAGGGAAAAATTCAAATGTGCAGAGAGCATACCATTAGCCACAGACTCTCAGCTTCTGAAGTCGACACTCTTGTCAAAGCATCTTTTAGAAGTTCAAAGATGGATAGCAGCTCGGCTTTACTCGGCGAAATGGAATCCCTTGTCAAATGCCTAACTTCTACTGAGACCCTTAATAGACATAACTGTGCTGAACTCGAAAAATTTTCACGACAAAGCTTTTCTGCCAGTTTCCGGGCTTCATCCAGTCTTCCAAGTTGCAAATAAAATGAGATATGCTGACAGGCAAGATCCTCGTCAATGCATCCCATTGTTTCAGCCTTTTCATAGACTCTCAAAAGATGTGAAATATAACTAGCAGACTGACTGGCTAACCCAGAAGGTTTGTTTTCTCCTTTTAGAAGAGCAGTAACACCCATAAAAAATTTTGCATACTGGTTGAACATTATGGCGGAAGGCAGAAGTTCTACAGCCTCCTCATAAACCTAGTCATAGCATGGCAGTTACAGGAACATAAGACAAACACGATTAGAAAATGCATGTCTTATTCAGATTCATCTAGCATAATAATTTTACTACTATAGGATTTAAGCAGTCCACATGGATTTATACCTGAACTGCTTTTTCCACTTGAGTATGCATATTTTCTTCACTGATCTCCTGTGTGGTTGCAGGATTGTATTCAAGTCTTGCTAGCCAGTCCCAATACTCTGGCTGTGTTGAGAAGTCTCTCTTGATGTCACTTAGTATTTCCTTATGCATTTCTTCTGAATTAACCAAGTCAGTTGCATCCAAAATCTCCAAAAACTTCTTTCTCATACTAAAACTAGAGGGAAGAGCTTCAACTGCTCCGCTATATATGGTTCTTAGAATGCTAAAACCCTGCTCCTGAAACTTGTCGATTTTCTTCCTTGACTTCTCACTTTCGATGTCTGATCCTTCATTATGTTCTCCTTCTTCATTAAGGGGCATGTATAAATCTTTATTTTCATCTCTCCACTGTTTCTCATCGGCACTTATCTGATCATGGGCCAGAATGCCCACATTCTCTCCAAGAGCAACCTTTCGGGCCTTTAGCTTATTAAGGAATGTGAGTTCCATCCGAAGATACTCTATCCAAAGATCTTCTGAAGTTGGGCAGACTCTCAACCCACTTTGCATGATAGCACGGGCAGCTTCAACATTTAAGTTATGGTCAAATTCCCAAGCTGCAGCATATATCCAAACTCCTGGGACCTTTGGGTGAAACCTGATTACTTGTGCCAGGACCTGCAAAAAGGCACTCCTCCTTCAACAATTGAAAATTTGATAATAGTAAATAAAATGACAGGTCAAACATTCTACTTATATGCAAATTCTCATAGATCGTTGTAATAGGAGAGAGTACAATTGACTAACAACCATTTTCTATATAGCAAATGTAGAAATGCAGTAATCAACTATGTAATAAATTCAACCCACAGATACAAAACAACTCCCAGAAAGTTGGGGCCATTTTAGGGGAATGAGTATTACCTTCTTCATCCTACCATGCCGTCGCTCTCTACAAAACTCAAGGTACCGAAACCAGAGCTCAATGTCACCCTTAAACCTCATGACCGCAAGCCTATATATATCAACGATCCTCCTTACGCCAGCGAAGTCAGAAACTGACTTCTTCATCTTCTTATTGGTCTTCAGCCCCTGTTTTTGCAGCTCACGCATCACCGACTTTTTCCGGAGGCCACGGAGTGAGTCAAGCTGAGTCTCATACTCAATGTAGGCAAGGTAGTCTTCCTTGAGTGGGCTCGGCCGCTTGAGACGGTATTCGAACTTCCGACGCTGCTTGACGATCTCAGCAATCTCACGGCGCGTGAAGATCATCCGTTGCTCGAGGTCATCGAGCTCGTTGATCATCCGCTCCAACCGGTACTGGACCACGTCAGCCATTCTTTGTTAAGGTGTTGTAAGTCAAGGGGATCAATCTGAGAACAAGGCAAATAAATCCAAATTAGACAAGAACAAACAAAATTAGCACTCCAAAAGTAACTACTAAATCAAACATATGAATAAAACCAGGAAAACTATTACAGAACAGGTGCGTACCCAATCACGGTATGGTATCGATCTGGAACGAAAGATTTAACGACTCAGCTCCAGAGACGAGAACAGTACCTGATAGACGACGTCGCTGGTACCGAACAGTACCTCACCGCCGACAGCGGACGAGCAATCTAGGGCACACGAGGGAGAGTGCTATAGCTGATGAGCCCACGTTTGAATATTGGTCTCATGGCGTAAGGGGAAGGAAGATATTGGGTTCGGAGAGGATTTTTTTGGAGGACGACTGGATTCGATGAGTACAGCCCAGCCCAGGCAACATAGCCCAAACTGCTGTTTGAGGGCTGACGTCAGTGAAGAAACTTTTTAAAAAAAATAAAAAAAATTCTGAAAATTTACCAAAAACTTCATATTTTTATTTATTAATTTCATACATATAAAAAAAAATTAATCTCATATGAATAGTAATTTCTCTTGGGTTGCCATGACAATTGCTATGGAAGACTATTCACATAAACAGTACTCGCCCTTACTCGTCCTTAACTTTTGACATGACAAATAAGTGGAAGTGCTCTAAGGAGTAAAATACTATAAGTTGGGTGGGTCGGTGTGTCAATATAATAAAAGTACTGCTCGTTACGACCTCTCTGCATGGCAAGTTGTATGTTTGCTTGGCATGGCATGTGGGCCATAACTTGCGTAAGCACGTATGACAAATTCTTGTATACCCAAGTCAGGCTTCTTTTCTAATTTAGTGTTGTATTGAGCCAGAAATATATTTAGGCCTAGCCTTGAATTTTTTGGGCCTCAACAATAATTTTCACCAACCTTCAACTTGTCAACCTTTGTATAGATTATCTGCAAGTAGTCCACACGTCTCCAACTCATGCTTCTCTCTAGATTTTATAATTGCTCGACTCCTTGGACCCAACTAGGGCTGATCTGCTAAAGTCTTTATTTGATCTACTTTATTCACATCGTCTAGAACTAGAATGATAAGTACCTTCTTATTCCTTAGTCTATGATGTAATAATTGATCCTCAAATATTTATTACAAATATCTTCATCGCAATACATCAAGGTTGCAAAGATAGATTTTTGCAAGCAAACTTTACCATTTGCTTTTGTGGATTCCCTTCTAATAGAGAAAACAAAGCAAATAAAATCAAAGTGGTGCTTCATTAAAACTTCTGCTACTTGATATACAGTTCGATGGTATCATATGGATGGTTTGGCCCAGTCTCGATCTTGAGCCCGAGCATGGCATGAGCACGACCTATTTCATTGTAGACTATCTAGTA